GCACTTGCTCTGAAGAGTCTGCACTGAGCCCACATGAGGCAGCTGTGAGAAGAAGTGATGCCAAACAAAACCACAAAGGCTTGGTGGACAGGCTGCAAACTGACCGGATTCTGTTTTCATGGAGCACAGAGCATCATCACTGCAGCCAGTCTCTGAGCAAAGTTGGGGCTACAGATCCCAGCCCAGGTGAGTGAAAGGTTTAACTCTCACCAACAGCTTCTCAGCTTCTTAGTCACAGGCAATGTCCACAGATCCCGAGCACTTTGCAGACTCGTACAGCTTTGAGTGCCTGTCTGTAGGAACTTTTGCTGTTAAGTCCGTATTGAGTGGCCACGAGTGAGCAGCCCCCTGGGCAGGCTCCGCGGGGATTGTTCTTCCTGTCGTGGATTCCTGTGTGTCCTGTTCTCTGTCAAGGAAGCGTTTCCTAAGAAGAAAAGTGTGTAAGGAAATACCTGTGAGTGCCTTAAAGGTAGGGAAAGAACTGCTTGAGCCAAGAGACAAGGAGCCATCAAGTGCTCAGACACACACGTCACCAGGGCCTTCCGGGGTGTCCAGCGCCACTGAAGCTATTTGCCGTCAGTCTTCCTAAAGACAAGAATTTTTCCTCAGTTAACAATCTGCTCTTAACTCTGCTTGAAGAAAATGTGAAACCTTTGAATCAGAGGCAGAGAAACTTTTGTAAGCAACATAAATCAGGTGTTGATGAGTCAGATGTTAGTCTGGAAAACAAGGCCAGGAGGTGACTTGGTGAGAAGTCTGATTATTATGCATGAGGGTTGCACGTGCAGAAGGAATCTGTTCAGTAGTGCATAGCTACTGACTTAATAATAAATTGCTTCGGACGTAAAGACTCAAAAAGTATTCACTGTCTGAACTACTCTGAGCAAGATGGCCAGGAGTATTGATTCCTTCAGGAGGTGGACTGCAACAGAGCTACAGGATGGAAAACTGGATCCCAGTGAGAGTAGATTCATTTATTACAGCTGTGATGGACTAAAGACGTTAGCTGTTAGCAAAAGAAATAGTAAATGACAACCCCGTGTGTTTTAATGTTCTCATTGTACTGTATCATAATGTGTAACATATAATTGTGTAACAAAAAACGTCTACAATAAATCTTTTAGTATTTGTGATGGGTTTTTCTGAGTTTTAAGAGTGATACTGAGGTGTATGGTTCTTGGATTATGCCAAGAAAGAGCTGGGATGAGAGAGGTAGTTTCTATTTATTTGTATTTAAATTCATTCCAAAAAGAATTTGCAACCACACAAGATAAAAGATTGCAGTCGCACAGAAGTCTGAAGACAAAAAATGGAAGGCCCATACTGACCCTGGAAATAGTCATTTCTGACAGTGTGGGACTAAGGAAAACTACACATTTGAGCTCAGAGCTTCCTCCAAGCTTAGGCAAAGGAAGAACTTTTAATTGTCAAACAAAGAAACATTGTGGGTTTTCTGGCAAGATAAATTCATCTCAGCTGAGATCTGAAAGGCGTTTTTCCTGCAAATCCTTATGCTCTGACTACCTTGTGTTATAATGGCTAAAAAATGCCAGAAAAATTTCAGAAAGGACCAATTTTTTATCAGCCCTTAATATGAATTAAAGGCATTGAAAGATTTGGTGCTAGAAAGGCAAGAATTCCTGCAGGAAGGCATTGTGTGATGTTCCAAGGATGTAGCTTAGAACGTCATGTAAGGTCAGTACTTAGGAGCTGACTTGACTGGAATATCCTTGGGCTGGTCTTCTGAAAGTTAAGTCTCTGCCAGGATCCTCTGCGCAGGCGTTACAAGTTGATATTGAGCCTTGAGTGTGACCCTGTTGAGAGGAAGTTCTTCCATCTGGGCAGCATGGAGTCTCATTTTGTGGCTTTCTGCACCACAAGCCACAGAGGTGGGGCTCAATGGCTGGGAGGACCTGGGTGAGCTTTCCCCTCCCTGATTGCCTGGTCCAGCCCCCCAGGCTGATGGGGCAGTTACTGGTCACTCATCATTGCCCTCAAGGAGCTCTGGCAGTGTAGTGGTTACAAATTGGGCTGCGAACCTGAAGGTCAGCAGTTTGAAACTACCAGTTGTTCCGCAGAAGAAAGATACGGCTTTCTGCTCCCGTAAAGGTTTACAGCCTCGGAAACCCTGTACAGGGTCCTCACTATGAGTCAGAACAGACTCCACGGCACATCATGACGTTGATCATCATTGCCCCTTCCATAGGGCCAGTGTAGGGGGTGGTCTCTTTAGTGAATTAAATGATGAGGTAATTGAATTACATCTGATAACAGTCCCTGTTGTGATGGCAGCTTTGGTTACCGAATAATGCTGTAATTAGCTAACAGATTGGATTGGGTTTTTTCTTTATGAAATTAGTACAAAAATGCTTACTCTATATATACTTACAGCATGTATCCAACCAAAACCAAACCCATTGCCATTGAGTTGATTCCAACTCACAATGACACTGTAGGACAGAGGAGAGCTTTCCAACAGCGAGTGTTTACAGGCTGCAGTCTTTATAGAAACATCTGTTTTCCTTGGCGTGGATAGGAGATCTGAACTGCCCATCTTTTGGTTAGCAACTGAATACTTAACTACTGTACCACCAGGGTTCCTTTCAACGAGTATGTTGTTAAGTTCCATAGAGTCAGTTTCAATTCACAATAACCCTGTGTAGATAGGGTTTCCTAGTAGCAACTGGTGAATTTGAACTGCTAATTCTGCAGTTCAAACCGACTTTTCAGTTCAGCACATTAACCCACAGTGCCACACCAGAACTCAATAAGTACAAAAAAATAAAAATGGTAGTCCCCCTTGTCCGAAATTACCACTGTTAATACTGCAGTCCATTTCTTTCTGTGTCTAAGATATATGAATGAATGGGTTGGGACCATAACGTTGAACTATTGTCTGGGTTGCTTATTACATGTTGTTAAGTGCCGTTGAGTTGGTTCCAAATCAGAGACCTTGTATAGTGGTGAAGGCTTCCTAGATGTTTGCGGGAGTAGAAAGCCTCATCTTCCTCCTGCAGAGTGTCTGGTGGACTCGAACCATTGACTTTATGGTTCAGAGTAGACCTCAGTAAACTTTGAGTGAGAAGGGAGTGTTTTCTTCAGGTCCTAGCTCTCCTTAGTAGTTAATGAGGCCTGGTAAGGAGGGTTTGGGCTTGGGTTGTTGGTGATGAGTTTCATGATAACATTCCCAAAGGGTCCTTTGGTTCTCCCTCAGGGTTTTCACCATAGCTGCAGCACTGCAGAAATGGCACCTGGGTGTGGGCTGTGCAGCATGACACAGGCAAGGTCTGGTGACGGGGTGAGCACTCCAGATAGACCAAAACTACAGCTGGAATCAGAGCTGATGAGGGTGGTGCTTAGGCAGGAAAGAACAGCTGGAACCGCGTTGCCTTCCTGGCCATGTACTGTGCATCAGGCACTGTTCTAAATGTCCGCCCCTTAGCAAGCCAGCAAATACAGACGAGAAAGCAGACACTCTCATTGCCTACAGTAAGTGTAGAAGACAGGGTTTGAGCTCAAGATAAAAGCTGCTTTTGCTGCCCTAGAATTCTAGGAGAGGAGGGTGGTGCAAGCATGAATGCAGAGGTTGGGCTCCAGTTGGGACGCTGCAGCCACTAGGCTCCCAGGGACACTGGCAGTAACCATGACACAGTACAATCCCTGGTACCAAGAGACAAGTGTGAGGAAGCTCTCAGGTATAATTAAATAATAAATTGAGAGTACATTTTTGCATTTTAGTAAAATCTGAGATTGTGTGGTTCATCTTTTCATTTCCACAGAAAGTTCAGCAGGCATTCCTTCTCAGAAACATGGAACATGCAAACAGTTCAAGACTGAAATAATAGAATCCTTTGTGTGGGTTGGGGTTTCCCTGTGAAGTGAGCCTCTCATGGAGCTCTTCCTCAGCTGGGAGACCGGGAAGGGCTGTGCCTGTCAGAGCTGGCCCTTGTAAGGGCAGCAGCTCCCTTTGTGGCCTGAGCTGGAAGCATGGGGTCCTTCCCCGTCTGATGATCACTCACATCAGATAGAGCCCAACTGGGCTGGAGAAAAGTAAAGACTCAAAAGGAAGTCTTCATGTGTCTTTAACCATAAAAGTCTCAAGCTTTTCCTTCCAATCTTTAAGCAGGGTCATAAGTAGGTATGGGAAACAGCCTCGTTGACCTGGAAATTTAGCAAGAAAACTTGAGCTTTTCATCTGCTTTGACAAATGAACAGCCTCCTCAGGAACTGCTAAGCTTCCTGCCACTGTGGGTATGAGAGCAGGGTAGGGTGAGGCTGTAGGGTTGGCTACATGACTTTTGTAAAAGTCTTTCAGGAACTGTGGCAGAGTCCACCTTCCAGAAAACACGTGCCCAATCTTAGTGTGATGATATGTTAGAGGAGAAGAAACAAATTAAAACTAAAATGTAGGGGCCCAGTTACTAGAAACAAGATGCCATTCATCTATTTAGTGCTTTAGGCACTCATCCCAAAAGACTGTTAGAAAAAGGATCATCCTGGCCATAAATGATGTCATTGAAATTGGATCCCTATGACTAACGTTCTGTTGGAAACCTCTTCCTGGCTCTTCACCTTGAGTCACATGCAGGGGAAACCCTGAGTTTCTTCTACAGTGTAGAGCCGTTTGTAGGAATGCCAAGGACATCACCTTGGATTACCATAGTTTATAAAATTAGTAAAATCATCATGCACCTTGGGGAAACAGCTACGAGTGCACATTACCGGTTCTTTCAAGGACCTGTTAAGTCCATATTATTCAGCCCCCATGGGCCAATTCAGGTCACAACAAAATTGATGTTCAAGTACTCTAAGGCTGGCACCATGTTCTTCAGATTTAAAAACTGAAGAAGGGCCCAAAGGGGCTATTTTAAAAACGTCTGAAGTTCACAGCCCAGGGGCAGCTGTGATAGGAGTCGTAGTAGTGAGCCTGGTAGTTAGTTCCCTGTCCCCTGTAGGTGGCCTGAGAAAGCCACAGCTGCTGCCCTCCAAGGCATGGCCAGTCACACATTGAGGATCCGAGGAGCTGGAGCCTGGAAAATGGCTGAGGGGTTGGGAGTGAACTTCTTCCTCACCTCTGGGACCTGAAAAATGAGATGTGGTCAGTGGCCTTTTCCTCAACTCCCTCCAAAGACAGACACACACACGACCACCACCCACCAACCTATCCTTTCCCCCACCCCCACCATCACTGGGGAAAGTATCCCTCCTCCAGGAGCTGAAACTCCCAACCTGAGGGTCAGCAAGGGAAAACCCATAATGGGCAGGGTCACATAGAGCACCTGGGCCTTCCCTCCTGCTGGGGTGGAATCAGGAATCTGAGCTGACCACCACCTCCTCCCATGTCTTACACAAGTGCTTAGTACTGAAGGACTCACTGGTTACCAAGGCTGAGATTTTTATTTGGGAGGGAACCCCCTGACTGATGAGAAGTTTTCTGTAACTTGAGGGGTGATTGGTTGGGTACTTAGATACTGCTCTCCCGGCCACCCTGCCATTTTGCACTGTCAACATCTGCTTCCTCGTCTCCAAACGGGACAATGCCTCTGCTTCTACATCCATGCTCCCTCGTCTTGTAGCACCACTTCAGCCTGACCTGGAAGCTGGTCCCAGGGCCACTGTCCCATCCAGAGCTGTGGGTGGTGATGACCGTGGCTGGTTTCACCTTTGTGGCTCTTGAGGGCTTCACTCCTGTCCAAGCCTGGAATTCCTGTCTGAAATAGCAACAGTCACAATCTTGCACAGGGCTCCCTCTGGCCCCTGGGAGCCACTGCTGTATACCCTGTGCTTCCTGGGATGGCCCAGCTATATTCGCCCAAGTCCAGCTTCCCCTCCAGATGCTTTCCCACCACCCTGCCCCTTATAGACACAACCAGCTAAGATAGCGCTCCCCAATCAGACACCATTCTGAGGGAAGCAGGTCTTGAGTTACCCTGCCCTTCACCTCTGCTGCACCAGAAACCCTCAGTGCCCTGTCAGCAACTGAGAGGCTCCACGTTGACACTATCACTTCCACCTGGCCCTGACTTGAAGAAAGAGCCAGAAGCTACTAGACCCACATTATAGATGAGAAATGGCTGTGGAGCTTTATCAGCACCTGCCTCTTATTCATCCCACAAATACAAACACCTGGAATGTGCTAGGCTTCGGAGCCAAAGGAAGTCCTAGCTCTTTCCTTTAGTGTTCTCAATTGTCTCCTGACTCTCCAGAATTCAGGTCCCTTCAAGGGGATCCAGGACTGGTGGAGGTCAGTGATCATCAGAGGCAGTGTCAGCCTGCAGAGTGCTTGGTGCAGCCAAGGACCTCCATACCTGGTAGCCATGGTTGCAAATGGCAAGAGAAAAAGAATGCTTAGTAGTATGGTTTTTTGTTTTTTTTTTTGAGTGGGCAGAAGCACTATAATTTCTTAATTAACTCCGCAATGAGAATGCAGTGACCATTTAAAAATGCCTAACAGAAGTTCTGCCTTTTATGTGGTCCTGAGTAGTGCAAATGTCGTGCTCTACTGCTACCTGAAAGGTGAAAGCCCTAGCAATTTACTTTCAAAGACCAGCCACCGGACCACTGTGGAGCAGTTTAATTCTGACACATGGAGTCACCATGAAGCAGAGGCAACACAATGGTAAGTAGCTTGGTTTTCTGGTTTGAGGCATGTGGGAGGGAGCACATCCAGACAGTGCTACATGTGGGCAGCCTGCATTATCCTCATGGAATAGCTTTCTTGAAGAAAAGTTGAGTTTTTCAATTTCCCTAAAAAGATATATTTTAATTTCACTCTAACTACTCCCCTCTTAAGGAGCTCTGGTAGCGTAGTGGTTATGAATCGGGCTGTGAACCACAAGGTCAGCAGTTCAAAACTAGTTGTTCTGTGGGCGAAAGATGAGGCTTTCTGCTCCCGTTAAGATTTATAGCCATGGAAATCCTGTACAGGGTCGCTATGAGTCGGAACTGATTCCATGGTAATTAACAACAACTCCCCACTTAGTGAGCTCAGAAAGGCAAAGAGCCCCTCTGTTGCTATGAATACCTGGCTGAGGCCCAGGTTCTGTGAACAGGGTCCGGTTGGTCTGACCCACATGTGGGCCACGAGTGCCGCCTCCCCATCCCACCCACAGCCCAGGCTGAACTGTCCCTAGCCCCACAGTCAGCAGAGCCATCTTGCCTCCTGGGCAGCAGCATTGATGGGGCACTAGTCTGTCCACAGTCTGTACTAAGATGCTCCAAGTGCCAGGAAAACTGGCCCTGGGCCCTAGTGGGATTTTTTGCTTTCTATAGCTGTGAGGTTCCAAAGACCAGCTGCCCAAACCATCTGCTGCTCTGTTGCTTCTGGGAAGCAAGTCCTTCCTTCCCTGGACACTGCCCTTATGTCCCCAAACATGCTGAGCCAGGGGGTGGGGTGGGGGTTGGGAGATAGGGGGCTGGTGCTAGGGTGTAGGTTAGATGATGAGGCTGCAGGGGAAGAAGAGGGGAGAACAAACGAAGATCTCCGAGAGTCCTGGATTTGGCCTCTTGGGGTCTGGATTCAGCACAAAGTGGTTTCAGACAAAATCCTTAACTTCCCTGAGCCTCACTTTCCTCTACCGATAAATAGGGAGACTGATCCATGAGTCTTGGTGATGGATACTCTGAAAAGTAGGAATCAACTATTGTGGAACTTTAGAATTAGTTCTTTACCCACCTAGGAAGGAAGAAATGACTGAGGACGGAGTCTGGGACAGTCTTGCAGATACTGGTGGGGTTTGGCCAAAGGCTCTGGACACGGGAGGAGCTGGCAGGTGGAGGCACTCAGGCTGTTCACGGGCAGAACTACTGTGCACACCTGGCCAGGCACATGCAATAGGTCCGCTCTCATGTGGGACCAGAGGCTCAGCAAGACTTGCTGAGCGGAGAGCTGAGACCCACCCCAGGGTCCACTCGGATGTGTTTGGGTTCCCTGAGTCTGTGATTTCCGGTTTCTGAATTTCTTTAAACCGTTTGCTTAGATAATGTGCATCTTGTGGGAAAGCAGGTGAAATGGAATTGCTTGTGGCAGGCTGCAGAGTTGGAAACTGGAGGGTCTCTAGTCAGGTGGCATTGTGCTGGGGGAGGTCAGGTTGAACTTTGATCCAGTGTCTCTCCCAGGGGTGGGGCATGGTTCCATGTAGCCAAACATTTACTATTCCTGCTTTACAGATGAGGACTCCTTGGAAACTATATAGGGTCACTATGATTGGAAACCATCTCAACAGCACTTAACCACATCAGAGCACAGTGCAAAGACAATGGTTGAAAAGGCAACAGCTTAGGGATGACAAGCTAGTGTTATTACTAGTAGGTGCTGTCGAGTCAGTTCCTACCATAGGGAAGTCCTGCTTCACAAGCATAGCTGCTGCCATTGTGTCAATCCATCTCATGGGGGCCTTCCTCTTTCTCACTGCCCCTTCACTTTACCAAGCATGATGTCCTCCAGGGACTAATCCCACCTGATAACATGTCCAAAAAACATGAGGAAGTCTGGCCATCCTGACTTCTAAGGAGCATTCTGGCTGTACTTCTTCCCAGACAGATTTGTTTGTTTTACTGGCAGACTATGGTAAAATCAGTATTTTTCACCAACACAATAATTCAAATGCATTAATTCTTCAACCTTATTTATCATCCAGCATTCACATGTTTATAAGGCGATTGTAAATACCATGGTTTGGGTCAGGTGCATCTTAGTCCTCAAAGTGACATCTTTGCTTTTTACCAATTTAAATTGTCTTTTTGTAGCAGATTTGTGCAATGCAACAAATTCTTTAATGTCTTCACTGCTGTTTCCATGTGACTTGATTGTGGATCAATCAAACTGACCTTCTGGTCCAGTGCATTGTTCTATAGCAGGGGTCACAGATGTAGGCTCTTGATGTTGGACATACTTGAGATCCACTTTCTGCCCTGCTGTGAGAAGCTGTGTGATCTTGCTTAAATCATCCAGGTTCCTCATCTGTAGGATGAGGACAGATGACAGAACCAACCCTGCAGAGTTCTTGTGAGGCTTCAGAGAGATGGCCCATGGACAGTCCTGAGCTGGTACCTCCATTGTACAAGTTCTAATATTAGAAAGTGTTTTCTGAACTGAAGTTATCCCCTTGCAACTCCACCCCTTTTCTTGGCCCTGCACCTAGAACATGTCCGCTCCTTCCTCGTCCATCAGCCCTCTGAGGTCAGCTGCAGATATTCAAACCTTAAGCCACCAGAAGACATCTTTTCCAGACTGTTCGCTTCCTGGCCCCTTTGGCTGGATTAGAGCTCATTGAGGCGCTGCTGCTCAGGGTCTTCCTGCCGTTAACATTTCCGGTGTGTTATTCAGCAGCTGAGGCCAGGAGTGTGGTCAATGACCAGAAGGCCCACCCTACAACCACTCCCCATCAAATTCTTTACCAAGTGCAGACCTAGGAAGGAACCATCTAGAAAGATATGGAATGTTCATATGTCCTGACAATAATGCTGTTACTTGGGTGGTGGTGGCGGTTGTTATGTGCCGTGGAGTCGGTTCTGACTCATTGCAACCCTGTACAGGGTTTCTAAGGCTGTAAATCTTTATGGGAGTAGAAAGCCTTAGCTTTCTCCCATGGAACCTGGTAGTTTCGAACTGCTGACCTTGAGGTTGGCAGCCTGACACGTAACCATTACACTACCAGAGCTCCTTGTTACTTGGATAGACAGTTACAATGTACCTTAGATCCCTTACTCCTCACCTCATGCTCAAGGGTGCTGTAAGGAATGTTCCTAGAAATCAAGTAACTGTATCAAAGGAGCAGTAGTATTTTAAATAGCCTAAAATTAAAACACCCTAAACATTCCACGGACTTCTGGTGTAGCACTGTGGAATCAGCATTGGACTGCGAACCACAAGGTTGGCAGTTCAAACCCACCAGCTTCTCCTCGGAAACCTATGCAGGTCGCTGTGAGTTGGAATCAACTGTATGGTACTTCACAACAACAAACATTTTATAAGAAAATGCAAAAGTTTCATTGGCGTTGAGTCAAATCTCAATTTAAAGTATAGGAGAGAGTAAAGCTGTTCATAGGGTTTCCAAGGCTGTAATCTTTAGGGAAGCAGACTGCCATGTCTTTCTCCAGCAGGGTGGTTGGTGGGTTCGAACCACTGACCTTTTGGTTAGTAGTGGCATGCTTAACCAATGTACCACCCAAGGCGCCCAATATTCCCTAAGAGATTACAGATACACTATGTCAGTCCATAGGATAAATGACTGCACATCTATTAAATTTCATGTTGTAGAACATCTAGTAATAAGGACAGACATCCACAATAGGTGAAACACATGTTCAGTAAGAATCAGGTAAGAATATCCAAGTGGCTATGCATTCAAATGTGTGTTAAGGATTAGAAATGTCAGTTTGTGGCTGGAATTAAGGGAATATTTACCTTGTAATTTCTCTACAATGAATATAACTTTTGTAGCAAGAGGGAGAAAGCTCTCCGTTGTTGAGGTGCTAAGCTAAGGGCTGGGGAGGACCTATAGACTTGTCCTCAGGGAGTCAAGTCATTCAGTGGAAACCTGTAGGGACCACCCACTCAGGAGCCCTGTGCTTTGTCCCCAACGTCAGTGCTCCCACACAGGGAACAGACCCAAAGGAGCTCTGCAGCTGACCCACCCCTTCTAGACCCACCCGGTGGAAGTTAAATAGAAGCAGTCGAAGACCAGGCCTTCTTGCCCCGGCTGCCAGAGAGGGGAGCTCACATCAGCTGAGGTGCTCATTCATTCTGAGGTTGGTCCTAAAGCAGCGAAGGCTACGCTAAAAGTGCCCAGGGACCCAAGGAGATGACCTCTGAGGCCGCCTGCAGCCCCTTCTCTCCCCACCCACCGGCCGCCCTCTCGGCTCACTGCCTTAGTTATCCCGAACCAACCAGGTGGTCTTTATGGGATGCGATGCGTTCCCCAACCCTCGCCGAATACCTGTACGATGTGGTCGCTGCTGCTGCTGCATCCGCGTCGCCAATGGGGAGCACGTAGACGCTTCGGGCTCCGGGTGTCGGGGGCTTGTCCCTGCGGCCTCCGGCCCCCATCCCGCGTCCCTGCGGCGCGTCCCTGGGCCCCGCGTCCCTAGGCCCTGCAGGCGCCGTCCGCACCCCGAAGTCACGCTGGTACTGAGTGAGCGGCTCGTCCCGGCCCGGGTGCCGGTCACCGGTGGGGACCGGGAAGCTACGCGAGGCGACACCGCCCACACCCGGATCCTCGGTCTCGAGGTCCGAGTAGCTGTGAAGGGTCAGCGGCACCGCCACGTCGGAGCGGTCCAGCTGGTTCCAGCGCCGCGCCAGGCAGCAGAGGCGGCTGATGCAGGGCCACGCCATGCCGCCCGGCGCCCGCTAGCTCCCCGCGCTCCGCGCTACCCACACCGCACGCCCGCCCGCGCCGCCGCAGCGCCGCCCCCCCGGCCGGGCGTGGGGCAACCAGGGGCGGGAGCGGCTGGCACAGTCCCTGAGGCACCTGGATCCTCCAGAAGTCATTTACAAGTGTCCCCTTGAAGAATGGTTGGTAATTTAATCCCAAATTTCCTAAACGTTATCTTATAAATGGGACCGGTCTTCGCATAGACACACACTTCCTCACCAATGGCCCTCGGCGGCTCCCGGGCGCGGTCCGTGTGCGGGCAAGGTTTCTATTTGACTTCACCATGGGCCCTGGCTGCAGCATTTGGGGTTAAGTGGCCCCACGGAACTCACATGCAGAAACAGGTGCACCAGAGGGCACGGGGAAGACTTGGGGGTCACGCTTCCGGGAGAACACAGGTTTGAATCAAGTTGAGGGGCGGGCCGCGTATTTGTACGATGCTGACCTAAGCCTGTGACAACTGACCCAGTTTTTAAGAAGTGGCATTAGCCTGCATTCAACCTTTACCTGGATTGATTGTAAAACCTCCAATTTTATAGCTTCCCCTTAAAAGCTTTAGATTTATAAAGCTGCCACAAAAACTTAGCTACTATCCTATAAGCCTACCCACTGCACCCACTGTGCGGTTCATTATTGTTTTATTGTCGGGCTAACTTTGGGGTAATTGTCCCAGATAGTGGTCATTGTTTAATTCTGACAGGGTATCAGGAACCATTCCCTGGGTATTTTACATATGCCTTCCGTGTGCCCTGCATACCTGTTACCTGTGACACTACTGAAACAGCATTAATTTCTCAGTTATATCTCAAAGCTATACTTGTAAGTTACCCAGAGTGCACCTCGGGGAGAGGACTGCAGCACAGCCCACCCTGGCCACTCAGAATACAGATATCAGCTCCCAAACCATTGCCAGTCTTAGTCTGAAGTCACAGTAAAGTGACAAAAGGCTGCCCTGAGTAGCAGTTGAGCAGGCTGGGGTCTGGCAGACTGAGTGCTCCAGTGGCTATGAACACATTGGAAGGCGTCAGTGTGCCACGGCTCTGGAGCAGGCTCCTGAGTGATTGTTTGGTGACTGGAACACTCCCTCCTGCAGAAAAAACGCCATCACTAAAGAGCACTTTGTATCTGCTAGGTGTAATGCTGGGTGTCTTCAACAAGTGTAGTGGGTGGCAGACATGTCAAACAACAAAACTAGACTAACTAGAAGTAGGAGCAGCATGAAGAGGGGTGTGGAAGACTGGACCTGCTCCCCGGAGTGAGGGTGCCAGCAGGAAATGCAGGGTTAAGAGTTCAGCCAGAGGTAGCAGAGCTGACCAAGGAGTTTAGAGAGATTAGAAGTGGGGACAGGTGAGGGGGGAGTATCGAATGACTCCCAGGGTTCTGGCTTCAGTGACTGGTAAGATGTCTGTGCAGCGGAGTCCCAGTGCCTGGAACCACAGCTGTCAGAGCTCATCAGTGTCCTCACACCAACAACTGCAGTCACAGGCAGGCAGACAGCTTACAAAATACATGGAGATGAGACTAGAGCTATTCGGGGGACATTCTGGAGACCCCAACACTTAAAAGGCTAGTGGCAAGGCAGTCTCAGGAGCCTCAAGAAGGCAGTGATCATGGGTCAGACTCAGCAGAAAAGCCAAGAGAAATGAAAACACCCAACTAAACTGGGTGATTGGGCGTGTGGTGCCTTTTGTCCAAGCCATAGATAGCAGAGCTTGTGCTGTCATGCTGGGCCACTCACAGGACAAGGCCCCAGCACTGGGATTTTATGGACAGACAAGAGCTTCAGGGCCAGACTTTCTATACTTCCTGTCCCTAACAGTCACAGAGCTGGGTGAGCACACACCTTCATTAACAGGCTGTACTTGTGGATGTGTTTATGACAGGTCCATGCGAACTCAGCCTCCTAATTTGTCTCTGAGAAGCACATCTTTACATCACAGGGTTGTTAGCATCATGACACATCCAGAAATGTCACTCCCCTTCTGTCCCTACAAGCCTCCTGAGCGAGATGAGGCTGGATTAAAAATGTTCTCTTGGAAGTGATACGAGTTGAGAATAGATAGTAACCTTAATATGTACTTCCCATTGGAGCAGAGTCCTGTGGGGTGGGAAAAGGGTATGAAGAACTGGACAAGTGCTACATGTTGGGACATGTTGTAGAACACGTGTTATTCAGTTCTCAGCAACCTGGGGTGGGGGTGGGGGCACCCAAAGCTGGAGCTCAGACCTGTTACGACCCTTGCCCAGCACCACAAGCAAGTTAGCCAGACCAAGGTGGCCCCTGTACCTCCACAACTCCCTAGTGCAAACGCACAGGAGTCTGTACAACCTTGTGAGAAATCCTTTGAAGAAAAAGTTCTCAGATTTCCTGGACATAATTCTCAATTATGACAGCAAGTGAATTCTGTCACAGTGAAGTTAGAATGATGCCCACCATCTGCTATTACAGGAAGATGCTTCAATTCGTAGCATAAGATACACTTAGGCATAGATTCGTGTTTGAAGTTTTCCAAGTCACTTCCTTCTAACCTTTAGTTACAATTTTTACTTAGAAAGCAAAACTTAAAAAGAGCTTTTTTCTATGCTGCTCACTACCAGAAAACACTACCTTTCTTGGGAAAATTTTTAAATACTATAGATAATGTTTCTGACCGTGCCAGAGAGAAATCTCCATTGTCAGCCAGCCAAGGGAAGAAGTAGATAAGCAAGCTTAAATGCTTATCAGAGATGCTTGCGGGCCTGTGTATGAGAACAAGAGCCCCACGGTTCCTATCCAGTTAACAGTGCACCTTCACTGGGTGCCAGGCTCTATGATCCATGTCAGACGCAATAATCCAAAGAAAAATTTCCAGAACAGCATCAGTGCTCTTAAAAAAAAAGAAGACACACAACCTCTGATTACAAACTAGAGATATAAACTTTTATTTCACCAACTCTGTCATAATTCGTGTTTAACAAGGACCTGTATGGGGACATCCTGTAGAACTCTGGGAGCCTGAGACGATGGGGGTCTTCATGGCAGAAGCAGAACCGTGGGGACCCCAAGGCCGGTGTGTGGTCCTGGGTTGGCCAGGCAGCACTGACTAGATGCACAGTTTTATCCAACCCTGGTTTTACTTAGAGCCACCTCCTTTTTTGGGGCCATTAGTCCTCATTTCATGCCAAATTTTCACCAGAGGCTCCCTGTTCTTCCAGATGAGTTCATGACCGTAAGTAATATACCATCTGGGGAAAAGAAGTACAAACCAGGTCCAACATTCAAAACAGAATGACATACAGCTGACAAGTACCATGAAGTTATCAAGTTGACATTTTAGAAATCTAATGCCACTGTCATTTACCACCTAGGTTATTAAAACAATTGACTAGTGTACTTAATTTAGATAAATAATTTAGCTTTAGTCCAGGGAGTCCTGGTGTGGCACTGTAGGATAAGCACTCGACCGCAAGGTCAGTTTGAACTGGAGGGTTGGCAGTTCAAACTCACCAGCTGCTCCTTGGAAACCCTATATAGTGTCACTATGAGTCGGAACTGATTCAACAGAACAATAACAAAGAGTATGCTCAAAAAAACCAAACCTACCTCCACTGAGTTGAATCTGACTTATAGGAACCCTGGTATGGGGTTTCCAAGGTTGTAAATCTTTTTGGGAGCACAAAGCCTCATCTTTCTCCCACAGAAGGGCTGGTGGGTTTGAATTGGCAGTCCAATGTTTATCTTAACAGTGCCACCAGGAGGCAGGATGGTGCGTGAATGCTCTGAAGAGTACAAGGGCTTTTCCTACACTACTTCTGGTCTACCACTCACCTGCAAGGTGAGCCCCACTTCCCCATTTTAGACACTAAGAGACCAAGCCTACCAGTGACCACGGAGTCAGTCCTACCTTACAACAACCCCGAGTGTGTCAGAGTAAAAACGTTCCACAGGGTTTTCAATGGCTGATTGGACTTGAACCTCCAACCTTTCAGTTAGCTCCCCACTGTGCTAACCATTTTGTTCCCACACAAGGGCTCCAAATCAAGTCTAACAGAGAAAGTAATTTGCCCAAGGAACTAACTGGATCCCAAAAGCCCTTTCCTCTCCTCTTCTCTGCCCACCCTTTAAGATACAGTTCCAATGCCCATTTTCTTACTAAAAACTGCCTATAAATAGCAGGAAGCTGAAGCAGTGAGAGGTTTAGTAACTTAACTTGCTCATGCCTGACAACTAGCAATGATCAGAACCAAGATGAGGACTGCAATCTCCCCCTGCAGTGCTCTGAACCACCCTGTGATACTGCAGCAGTCAGCAAATGCTGGCGAGGGACCCAGGCCACAGGGCCCGGTCAGAAGAGCCTGTCTTCCAGAAGTCCACAGCTCCAGGGCTGACGGGCAGCGCAGGCAGACGCATAAGTCAGGGCACCCACTCCCTGCTAGGCTGGGTGGTGGAGGGAAGGCTCCTGCTTAATGGGACGATTTGAAATTGCTGTTATTGAGACCTTGGCTTTTGCCCTGGTTCCCCACAGATTTCATGTTCCCTGAAGCAAAGACCAGATTTTGTTGATCTCTGCATCTCCCATACACCCAGCTATAAAAATGTTCTATTTAACTTTGATATCAGAATAGCAGTTTAGTGTTTTACCATTTTTTAATGTTCTTAGCATGTATTTCTTATTTTAAGGGACTTGAAGTATACTTAAATCCCACTTTTACTGTAATTAGAAGCTATACTGTATACTTACTATTCATTAAATATAGTTAAAGTCTGATTTTGAAAATACAATTACCATTAAATTTTAGAAAAACAGAGAAAAGCCCGAAGAGAAAAATAAATGAGTTACATTTACCGAAAGAAAAACTGCTATCTACAAAAACAATAGGCAGGTATCAAAATTCTTGTGGGCTTGAAGTCAAATTCTGTGAATTTATAATGAAAGAAAAAAAAGGATCATCTTATGATTCAAATGGAGTCCTGGTGTGGCACTGTGAGTTAATGCACTGGACTGCAAAGTCAGTTTGAACTTTTGAACTGCAAGGTTGGTGGCGCAAGCTCCTTAGAAACCCTGTACAGGGAGGCTATGAGTCCAAACTGGCTCAATAGTACAACAAAGAATCAAGTACAATTGTAAAAATCTTGAGTGAAATTAATCACTTGTCAGGAATGCTGCTTATTTTTACCTATTGTATTTTTTAACCTTTCTAACCTACTTATTTTAATCAGAGAATTAAATGCTATAATCTTACAGGTATATTGTTTCTGATTATGCTTATAAATCCAAATATTATTTGGATTAAAAAAAAATCAGAAAAAAATACTTGGAGAGCAAGTATTTTGCTGAGACGCCCTGTTGAAGAGGCCAGCCCTACTGTGTGAGCCTTGGCTAAGTGCTGCGTTACCTTCCTCAAGCAGTGTTCGCAACTGGTAAATGGAAGGCTCACAGGGTTCCTTAGCTTAGGCACATAGCAAATATTCAGTATATATGTTATTATTGCAACATTACAACATGAGGACTGTTTCATCAAGCACATAAAGTCAAGGAAATGTGCAGGTGGATAATAATGGAATCTTTACCATCAATAAAATAGAGACTTAGCTTGAAAAGAAGAGAGATTTGAGATTTGGGCCTCTAAATCTAGATTAAAGAAGCTACAAAAGCAGAATTCAGGATATGACTGAGATCTAATAAATGAAGAGGTGTGGGAATTAGAGCCAGCAGAAAGAAAGGGATCCTCTGCTTTTCTGACCCTGGATTTTGAAATGCATTTGATCCAGTTATCTTCAGAATAGAAGAAAATGACCATCTAATTACAGTTCAGAAGAATCCAAATCTACTGGGGAGAAGAGCCTTAAAGAATACATGGAAAGACGTAAATAAATTCTATACTCGTAAAATATAATAACCCTTTTTCATAAGTTATTATGTTTATTATACTGTAATATCAGGTCATTTTCTACTATTTATAATGTGCTGCTTTTAAAGTGAGAACTCACATATGCTATTCTTTAATCATCACTGAAAATTATAAACGGCATAATGGCATTTAGTTCCACCGCCTACTGGGCAAAACTGCTCCACTTAGAATAGATTACTTTTTTTTTTTTTAAATTAAAAACTTAAGTTTCCCATTGTCATAAAACAAAGCAAAAACCAAGTAATGGCAAAAGCAACACTTTGACGAGGAACGATCAAGGGAACCAGCACCTCGGAGACCATGCTTTTGCTGACATGCTTTTGCTGAGAGGCTGGAGCTCCTGGGCTTCCTGTTAGGGCATTTCCATGGCAGAACTCTTGTTTTAGGCAGAAGCCCATTGTCAAAGAACAAATGGAGCCTCTTATAACTACAATGCCTATTGTACTCAACCTGCAATGATGGGGGTGGAGGGCACTGGGTCTCTCTCTGCTCCTGAAGATCTACCTGTGACCTGGGAAGGATGGCTTCTGAGCCTCAATTTCCCAGTGGTACAATGGAGGCCACAGTTCTAACACTATATGGTAACTAGCTCAATGTTGGCATGCCACGCTTACCATACCCCTAACTGCAGGTGGGAAACACTCTGCCAGCTCAGTGGGTCTGCACAGACCGGTGTGACAGAGGTCAGAAGTGGAAGGCAGGCAGTGGAGATGTGGGCAGGGAGGTGTGAGATGGGGGAGGACATCGATAGCACTCCAACAGTGCAGGGACCCAGGGAGCGAGAAAAAAATGTTCTGTTTGGTATCAGAATAGCAGTTTAACGTTTCATGGGGCTGGCCATGATGACAGTCAGAAGCTGGGGTGATGGGGTCAGGGGCAGGTGGTGTCATCCCACCTTACCAGGAAATCTGGGGAAAGCCAAAGCAAACAGTGCTGAGGCGTCCCTGCCCTCCACCCCCACTGGGCCTCTTTCCTCACATAACTGAGGCTCTTCCTAGCCACTTCTGGGGTAGGACAGGGAGGTGATGACTTGAGGAGTCAGTTTGAGCAACCAAGTACACACAAACTTACATTCCAAAGAGAGCTCCCCCAAGGTGTGCTGCATGGTCAAAAAACTTCCATCCCAGGATCATTCCCGCTGTATCCATGGCAATAATGGCTTTTAGGGCCTGAAAATCAGCAAGAGAGAAGAGAACTGGGACAACAGACTCCTGCGTACTGACATCTCTAACGTAGGGGCAACAATTCAGTCAACATAAAACCACCACCACAGTTCCCAGAACTCCACGGCATGAGATTACTCACATTCCCTGCTGTGAATGTGAACATCGGAAGGAAGATAATGGCCAGTCTCCCTTCTGGGATCTTGGTGCAGACGGCTGCCAGGACGGTCATGATTGCACCCGACTGCAAGTTCAAGTGAACACATTGAAGAAAACATGAATGTTCTCCATCTGTAGCTGCTTAGTGACTCACATGCCCTAGTGACTGTTTTTTTCAAAAATTCCACATACCATAAACAAACTTCTAGATCAACACAAAGCTGAAAAGCTTTCTGTTACCAATGTACAAAGTTTATCACACAAAAGGGCCCTAAGCCTACCACACAAGGATCACGCAGGCAGAGATTTTACAGGGCAGCAAAATGTGTAATAACGCACATGTAAATGTTCAATGATCGTCGTTTCACTCATCAAAGCTCTCTAACAAAGTTCCCCAACCACAGAGAGTGAGCATGAATTTGCCCACATGTAAGGAATTTCTTCCAAGAATAATATTTTATATCAAAAATTCATGCGATACTTGCATTTTATTTCATAATAAAACTAAAGTTTACTTAAAACCTTTTCAGCAAATGTTATACTCCAGCAAGCTGTGCCATGTTCTCTGGCTCTGCATGGTCTCACAGCACCTCCCAGGAACACGCATGCACATGCCTGCTTGAGAAGTACCTGCCCGAGTAATCTCTGTACTATGGACTGAAAGTCTAATATTCCTGATGAAGAAATAAATACTCTGAGTAGTTACAGTCATTACGTAGATATTTAGATGTATTACAAAGCAAAGATGTCATTTTGAAAACTAAAGTACGCCTGACCTACACCACAGGATTTTCAAGCCTCATATGTATTCGAAAGCCAGACAACAAAGAATGGAGAACACAGAAGAATCGATGCCTTTGAATTTGGATGTTGGTAAAGAATAGTAAATATATCATCAATTTCCAGAGCACACACATCTGTATTGGAAGAAGTACAGCCAGGGTGCTCCTTAGGAACAAGGAGACTCTGTCTCTCATACTTTGGACACGTTATCAGGAGGGACCAATCCCTGGATTGGTCAAGTGGAGGGCCAGTGAGAAAGAGGAAGACCCTCAATGAGATGGACTGATACAGTGGCTGCACCAACTGTGAAAATGGCACACAATTGTGAAGACCAGTGTTCCATTCTGTTGTACATAGGGTCACTATGAGTCAGAATCAACTTGATAGCACGTAATAACAACATACAGTCGTTATCATTTCAATTTATAATGGCTATTAAATATCTGCAAGATAAACTAATTTAACTAATCCCTCTTATTGTTAGGCATGCTCCCAATTTCTCTACATATAGAACACTTAAGGAATATTCGGCTAATCGCTCATTCAAATACTTGAGCCCTATGTTCCAGTCCTGGTGTGGCATTACAGGATAATGTGGCGTCTTCAGGGTCAGTTTGAACTGCAAGGTTGGCAATTCAAACCACCAGCCACTCCTTGAAAACCTGAAACAGGGTCGCTATGGATAGGAACTGACTCGACGGCACTTAACAACTTTCCAGGCACTATGGCAGCTGCTAGATACAGAGGCTAGTAAATCTGAGAGTCCTGGCCTGGATAGAGCTGACAGCATGGCAGGGAAGGCAGATAAACAGGTAAACATAGCACAGTGAGCTTTGCTGGAGAAGCAGAGAATACAGGGAAGGGGAGCTTTAAGGATCAGGTTTAAGAAAAATGTGATAAGATCTGTGCTGAGGGCTGACCAAGTGTTTGCCCTGTAGAAGAGAAGGCAGCAGGGATGAATGTTCTAGGCAGAAAACAGCATGTACCAAGCTCAGAAGCAAGAAAGCATGGCATAGTAGAGGAATGCGGAGCCAGCTGCCTGTGGTTAGTGTGACTGGGATGGGAGGACAGGAAGAGAGCAAAGGGAGGCAAGAGAAGGCTCCAGAGGCAGGCACTCAAGTGTCTTCTAACAAAGTCCTAGGCAGAGACAGATCTTAGTGACTTATTTAAAATTCACAAAACTCCCATGAGATGCTTTCTATAAAATGCCTGCCCCCTATTCCTTAACAGTGTCAAGGTCATGAAAAACAAGGACAGACTGAGAAGCTGTCACAGATGGGAGGAGACTAAGGAGACAATGTGGTATTCTGGGACAAAACAAGTGCATCCCAGAGAAACCTAGAAATCCAAATGAAGTCTATACTTTGCAGCACTGTACCAACGTTAAATTTGCTAGTCTTGATGAGTGTGATGATGTGGCATGACTGAAATGAATACAATCAGAGAAAGCTGGGTGAGGAGGGCGTGGAAACTTTACAGTCACGGAAATTTCGCTGAAATTCTAAAAAGTTAAACTTCCAAGAGCCCATATTGATAAGTGTGGGAGAATTGTTAACAATGACAAATATGCAAATAGGGAATAATGAAGGTCACAACATCACACTTATGAGGGGGTTTAAAAATAAATCCATGGAAAAATGGAATTTTCCTAGGAACTGTTTGAAGTCCCTGGTATACAGTGTTCTAACCAAAAATGATATAATCATGAGAAAACTGAAAACTCATTTTTTTTGAAATTTGTTGGAGTACAGCTCTTCATAGTATTGTTACCATCTTTCTGATTTCATTTGGTTCTGTTGTGACTTCACCTATGTGGTTTCTAATGCGATTAATTTGTGACCTCTCCCTCTTTTCTTTAGTTAGTTTTGCCAATGGATTGTCAATTTTATTAATCCTTTCAAAGAACCAGCTTCTTGTCCTGTTGATTCTATCTATAGTTTTTTGGTTTTCCATCTCATTTATTTCTGCTCTGATCTTTATTATTTCCCTTCTTTTGGTGACTGTAGGTTCCCTCTGCTGATCTACTTCTATTTGTTGAAGATGCTGTGATAATGTGTTGATTTTTGTCTCTTTCCTCTTTTTGGATATGTGCATTTATCTCAATAAACTGACCTCTCAGGACTGTTTTCGCCGTGTCCCAAAGATTTTGGTATGTTATGTTTTCATTTCTTGTTTGTTTCTAGGAATTTCATGAATTCATATTTAATTTCTTCTTTTACCCAGTCACTTTTCAGCAGGGTGTTGTTCAGTTTCCATGTAGTCGACTTTATTGTTTTGGCCTTCTTATTGTTGATTTCTAGTTTTACAGTGTTGTGGTCTGAGAAAATGCTCTGTATAATTTTGATGTTTGTGAATTTATGGAGGCTTGCTTTGTGGCCTAACACATGGTCAATTCTGGAAAATGTTCCATGCGCACTGGAGAGGAATGTGTATTGTGCCGTTGTTGGATAGAATGCTCTATATATGAGGTCACTGTGACACTGTCGAGTTTCTTTCTGGTTGTTCTATCTCATTTCGAGAGTTGATGTGTTGAAATCTCCTACTATAATTGTGGATTTATCTATTTCTTTCTTCAATTCCATTGAGGTTTGCTTCATGTATATTGGTGCTCTTTCGTTGGGAGTGTATATGTTTATTATGGTTATGTTGCCTGGCTCAATTGACCCTTTGATCATTAGATAGTGTCCTTCTTTGTCTTTTTTTTTTTTAATGTTTTATTATGAATTATGATAGTTTACATGGAAGAACATTAGTTTTACATTCATTCTATCATATATTGTTTCATTGCCATGGTTCCAATCCCCTCCAACCAACCAAAGGATATACCCTGCAAGCCTGCCCCACTACCCCCGCCACCCCCAAGTCTTCATCACACAGTGGCTCTCCCTCTCTGATCAAAAGCCCCAGCTGCTCCATCGCTCCACGTCATCATCTCTGCCTCAATCTCAGGCATCACTGCTTCTCTGTGTAGGGTCCTGCTCTCGGCTCTTCTCCGCTGATGGTTCTAGGAACCTCCGCTCCTAGACTGAAAAGTTAATCACTTCCCTCCTTGCTATAAAACGTCTACCTTTACATTTCCAACCCTTACAATCAGTCCTGATAACAATTATTCACTATTGTATCACAAGAGACCCATCTGCATTTCATTTCATCAGCTCCGCCTAGACAGACTAGATACAGCTCACTGGAGATTCTGCCTTCCTCCAGACCCCCTGGCTCTAGGTTCCCTCTTGAAAGCTTGTAAGCCAGTCACTTCTTGCTTTGTAGCCCCCCGCCCCCCAATTTAGGTAGCCAATGTCCAAGTTGCCCATCCCTATCTACTCTGTGTGTGGAGGGAGTAGGAATGATTCTTACTATAAGGATTTGTTCCCTCTTTTGAGCTACTACATCCATAGGTGTAGGTCAAGTTCATCAAATTGTATCAGATTACTTTTTTTCCCTCTTCTTCTGGTTGAGCTCTGATCATCTAGTGATTGAAGTCAGGTCAAGTGGGTATTATCTGCATGTGTGGGTGTTCTTGTGCATAAACCCTCTCTTTTTATCAGCTACACACTTCACTCTCCACATTGTAGGGCTTAGCTTGCCACTTCTTTGCTGTTTTTCCCTCACTTCCCCTTATCGGTGATGAGCGTGGTCACCAATCAGAGCATGTATTCCATTGAGTCTTATTCTTGGAAGGGGTTTGCACTGAGGGGACCCGACCACTTGCCTTGATGTTTCCTGGGCAAGCAACTTGTTTGTTCTTGTAGTAACAGTCCATCTGCCTCTATTGTTTTGTATTTTTCCTGTAGGTCTTTCTTTCAAGAAGAATCTTCTGTTCTTCTCCAGGCTGGTTTACTCGTC